AATATATGATTTTCATATATTTATTCTATCTCATTTATCACTTTCACGGGTTCATTACGAATCAACTTAACGGCCTGCTCTCAGTTGGCTTGTTAGCTCAATTGGTTAGAGCGCTGCACTAGTATCGCAGAGGTCAGTGGTTCGAGTCCCGTACAGGCCTGATTTTTTTCAGGTCTGAATTTCGCTATTGCTCAAATAGCGCTATCTACTGCGAGGATCGTCCATCATACGTATCAAATACCGCAGTTCAAAATATATGATTTTCATATATTTATTCTATCTCATTTATCACTTTCACGGGTTCATTACGAATCAACTTAACGGCCTGCTCTCAGTTGGCTTGTTAGCTCAATTGGTTAGAGCGCTGCACTAGTATCGCAGAGGTCAGTGGTTCGAGTCCCGTACAGGCCTGATTTTTTTCAGGTCTGAATTTCGCTATTGCTTAAATAGCGCTATCTACTGCGAGGATCGTGCATCATACGTATCAAATACCGCAGTTCAATATATGATTTTCATATATTTATTCTATCTCATTTATCACTTTCACGGGTTCATTACGAATCAACTTAACGGCCTGCTCTCAGTTGGCTTGTTAGCTCAATTGGTTAGAGCGCTGCACTAGTATCGCAGAGGTCAGTGGTTCGAGTCCCGTACAGGCCTGATTTTTTTCAGGTCTGAATTTCGCTATTGCTCAAATAGCGCTATCTACTGCGAGGATCGTCCATCATACGTATCAAATACCGCAGTTCAAAATATATGATTTTCATATATTTATTCTATCTCATTTATCACTTTCACGGGTTCATTACGAATCAACTTAACGGCCTGCTCTCAGTTGGCTTGTTAGCTCAATTGGTTAGAGCGCTGCACTAGTATCGCAGAGGTCAGTGGTTCGAGTCCCGTACAGGCCTGATTTTTTTCAGGTCTGAATTTCGCTATTGCTTAAATAGCGCTATCTACTGCGAGGATCGTGCATCATACGTAGTAGTTGTTACCTCATCTAAAAACCCATAGTCATTAGCATTGGGAAGCCAGTCGTTCTGCATTAAGAAGGTTGCATCCCATACTTTTATATCAAACTGTAGTTGCTTAGTGGCCTTCAGAACAAGAGCTTGTATTTTTGCCAGGTGGTTTTCATACCTTTTGGCGCAATATCTGGATTTGGGGTTGCGGTTTAGTTTGTGTAATTTTTCAGGCTGTATGACTTCAGGTGCTCTGCCTCTGGCCATTTTTTACCCTCCTTTCTTGTGGCTTCATCAATTGTTTCAAAACATTCTACCATTCTTTGCCTTTTCCTGGCTGCGAAATATGTTCATTGAGCTAGGTGAAGGTTGACATAATTTTGTTTTCAGGAATTTTCTATATTTTTTTTAATTTTCTCTTTTCTTTACAGATTTTTTTTTTTGCCTCAACAGGTGAAACTTTCTTTGTCAACCCAGCCTAGGAAACCATGGACATCACTTCTCTAAAGGACTTTCCCAGTCACTCTTTACATACAGAGTTGAATTCCTTATATATCACTGACGCTATGTTTTTCACTTCTTTTTGTGTTGGTATGAAGATTTTTTTTCCTGAATGCTCTCGGGCTCAACTTTTTACATCTGTGAATGCCTCCCTCCTGCTTGCCACACAACCTGTGCTGTTTTTGAAGAGGCAACTCTCCACTGGTGTTGTTAAGAGACAGCATTTGCATTCTACTTGGTGCAGAGATTTTTAACCCCGGGCAGTTTTCTGCCAGCTTTCCACAGAATATGCATTTAGATACTGTTGCTTTTTTTTGTGGCAGTGACCACTTTGAAATTTGGCTATCAATGGCCTGATATTTCTTGAGAAAAAGACCTATTAATGAAATTTACTTTTTTGTAATTGTGCTTCTTTTTTCTACCTGTAAGTATTTAGTGACCTTCAAAAGATTTATGGAAAAAATACTTTTGCTCACATGTGAAAGGGGATATTCTTTGAAATGTTCCATGTAGAGCCAATATCTTTCTTCCAATTGCCAGCTTTTGTCTGTCTTTTCTGATTCACTGTCATTTCTTGAAATTTTTGTTCGGCCAAGGGACTTAGTATCCCATAAATGAACATGAGTGAATCAAACCCCAGTCAATCCCCATGTCAATTTACATTTTGTTTCTATTTCCTTTTTCACTTAGTAATTTTTTTACCTTTTTTTGTTATTTTGTACAACATTAAATTGGACAGACGCCTCCAACTGAGCCAGCAGGAAATCAGTGCAAAGTGCGCATGCAAGTTATCTCCATCAAGATGAGGTGGGAGGGGGGAATTTGAATTTTGAATAACCTTGTTTTTCACCCTTTTCTTGCTGCCAGGCCAGTTGAAAGCCCTGTTCATTTCTTACCAACAGATTTTTCATAAGACCTAAGGGTGGGGTTATCAATTTTAAACATATGGAGCACTAATACTTGCAGTTATTTCTCCCTTCCACCTCCCTACTGCGGCTCAATTTTGTTACATGTTGTGGGTTGATTTCGCTGTTGTGTAAAGAGAACCATTAAAGCTGTTGTATATTTGACTTCATGGGGAACAACAACCCATGCAGTGAGTCCCACAGTACATCTCTTAATTTATTTTAGCATTTTTTATTTCCTTTCGGTCACGGACGTGGAAATTGCGAAAAAAGCAACAAACAGTTTGAAGTAATACTATTACAGTATTTCAGTTTCCTTACAATTACAGGATATGAAAACATACAAAACTAGAACAGTAACTGATAATTCATTCGCTTTTTGGCCTGCGAAGCCAGCAGCTTTACTTTGCCATCGGAGATTTGTCCGGTGATCGACCTTGATTTGCGCCTTCTTGGTCAGCGGTATAATGTGGTAGTCAAGTCTCCTTCATGTATTATGTTCGAAAAGAAGGAAAATGGCTGCTTCTTTCGTAGTTAAAAAAGGGGTAGTCTGAATGCTATCGCCGGTGCCGAAGTTTCCATTTCAAGCAGTTATTTTTAGCGAAATGGAAGAAGGCGTTGATAAACTTTATCTTCACGTTTGGAAGGAAGTGCCGAGTCGAGTTGATAACAATCTAAATACCATTAAGTTGAGAAAAGTTCCTTCTCAGCTCCTAAAGATCTCTAATCTCTTTTTTAAGGAACGAAGGGAATTCATTCCAAACGTAGATGGCTAGCATTTTTTAATGAGTATTTTTCTCATTCATTGATCAGTAACGACTGTATGTAAATCTTACCAATTCCGATAAAAACCGATTGTGCAGCGTTTTGATCAAGTGACCCGACACGTGACCGTCGTCGTCGACATCGCTGCCATAAGGTAAAAGTTCGTATGAAAATCTATCGTCCCTGAAAATTTCAGCGAAATCGGCTGTATATTTATGGAGATATGGCTGTTTATCTTGTCAAGGCAATTTAATCTCCTGACCCAGGCCTTAAACTACGCGCGCGCGCGCGCGCATATCTTACGCTGCTCTAACTTTAGATGCGAATATCTAGACACACAATCCAAATATCGGAAAAGCCCGACAAACTTTTTTTGATTGATGCCTTGTGAATAAGACTGTGTAGCCATTTTGCTCGTTCTACGGTGTGCGATACCCGATAAATTCAACAGATAAACCCTCGGTCGTTTCCTAAATGATAAATTATGTTTTTATTGAAACTGACACGTGTATGAATTTTTTCCCGAAG